ACTCTATTGTTTTGAGTCCCAGTTTCCTTCCCATCACTATTGGTTCCCTGTGCATTTTCCTTCATTTCACTTAGCTTAGCCTTCATTTTTTTCATCTAATTTGCAACCAAATTCAACCAATTCTGTGAGCATCCTGATCACCAGTGCTTTGAACTGTGCATCTGATAGGATGGCTATCTCTTGGTCACTTAGTTGTATTTGCTGTGGAGCTTTGATGTTTTCTTCTGTTGGGCTGGGGGTTTTTTTGTTTGTTTTTTTGTTTTGTTTTCGTCTTGTCACACCTGTTACGTATGAGGGGAAGAGCCTTAGGTGTTCACCAGGGCAGGCAACCTAGTGGCTGGGTTGTGATGCTGTATGTGGGGGCAGGGTCTGAGAGGAAACAATGGTGCTTGCTCCTCTCTCTGTCAGATTTCAGTCCCTTCTGCCACTTCCCCCAAGCTAACTGAGCCTTTCTGGTGCTGATTTCTGGGTGGGTGGGCTTGTGTACATTCTAGGACCCTGTGGGTCTCTCCAATGCACTGTCCTGTGAAGCTGGGAGTCTCTCCCTGCACCTCAACTCCCCAGTGTTTCAATCAGTGCCTGGAGGTTCTATTTCCCGGAGCTGGGACCATGGGTTGCGCGGTCTGTCTCACTGCCCAATTTTGCCTGGTTTATCTGGGCGTGAATGTGACCCGGACAGCCAGGAGCCCTGCACAGTGCCTCACTTCACAGTTGCCGCCTGGCTGGGTTTGCCAGCCGCCTGTGTGCTCGGGATTCCTTACACGTCCAGTGCCACTGCTGTTTGTGCCACGACCCCTCTCCACCCAGTGGCCCGACTCCACCCCTCCTACCGGTCTGGTAAAATGTGTGTATTTTAACTCCTTGGTTGTCCGACTTTCATACAGTTCAATTTTCTGTCAGCTCTGGTTGTTATCTTGTTTCTGAATTGTTGCTGACCTTATTTTTGGTTGTGCGAGGAGGCACAGTGTATCTACCTACGCCTCCATCTTGGCTGGAAGTCCCTGAAATACAATTTTTTTTGAAAGACAATTTTTAATGCTAATTTCTTTTAGCAGACACTACTCTGAACCAATTTTAGACTTAGAGTAAAGTTTCAGAGGTGATACAGAGTTCCCCTGTACCCAGTTTCCCCCAATGTTAGCATCTTACGTTCCTTCGCACGCTTCTTAGAACGAAGACGTCAACACTGCAATGTTACTGCTAATTAAACTCCAGACTTTACTTAGATTTTATCAGTTTTTCTACTTACAGCCTCTTTCTGTTCAATAATCCAGTCTAAGTACCACATTACATTTAGTTGTTGTATCGCCCAGTCTCCTTTGGTTTGTGACAGTTCCTCAGCCTTTCCATGCTTTTCATGACCTCTTACAGTTTTGAGGAACACCAGCAGGTACCCTTTCTAATGCCCCCCAATCTGAGCTTGTCTGTATATTCCTCATGATTAGACTGATGTTGCAGGTTTGGGGAAGAATACTGCAGAAGTGAAGTGCCCTGTGGGATACTTGATCTGGAGATGTAACTTCATGATCACTTTGTCAAGTAATCTGTCATTTTTTTCCCACCATAAAGTTTCTGTTTTTTCAACTGTATTGTTTGGAAGCAAATCACTAAGTCTAGCTCACCCTCAAGGTGGGTTGGAGGGATGTGTGGAATAATAAGTCCCCCCTCTTGGAAAGGGGAATATCTGTATACATTACTGGAAATTCTTCTGTAAGGAAGTTTGTTTCTTCTGCCCCATTTAGTTAGTTATATAACTAGGGACTCGTGTATATTTTATATTTAAGTTATTGTCCAATACTTTGGTATTGTTTTGTTTACCATTATGTTCCAACTCTGTACTTATTATTAAAGATTTTATCATATGTAAAACGGGTGGATTGAATGAAATAATACTTTTAGTACCTTCTGGCTCCAAAGTTCTGGATCAGGAGCTTTAAAAAAATTACCTTAAAGCAAGATACTCTAAAGTCAGTTTCTCCATTTGCTTACTAATCTGTGATTGTGTAAGCTTAGCCCTTGGTTCTACTTTATTGACTATTTTTCTGGGACACCCTGCTCACCCATTTATTTGATATTGGCACCAAAGAACATAGGTCCGTAGATAAAGCTACTATGGCCTGGGAAGTAGAAATGACAACTGTGGCTTTAGTTCCCTGGATACATTTCCCAAGTTGCTTTTGGGAAAAAATAATATAGGTATGAGTTTAAAAAGCTGTACTAAGAACTGGGAGTTTTTGGTCATCGCCTAAGTTGGCTTCTAACTTGACATCTGATCTTGGGCTCATCTCTTCTACCTCCAGACCTCAGATCCTTTATCCAGAATGTGAAACAGCTCTATTAGACAGCCCCTAAGCTTCCTCACAGCTGTGATTTTTATCATTAGAGGTATTGTAAAGTATCGGGCTGGCAGTTCTCATCTCAGTAATCAAGGCATTCTGGCGAGAATTGGTAATGGTCAGCCTCTCTGAAACAAGCTTGTTGGGTTCATCATTATCCTTTTTTATTTATTTGATTAAACACACGTACACAATGCATGGGATAAGCACGTTCAGAAATGTGAGGTCTAGCGGTAGTACCTTGATGATTCATTGTGCAGTATAGAAGACATATTTTGCTGTTCATTAATGACCCAGCCCATTATGGTAATAACTTCAGAGGGATCAGAACTGGAGTGTTCATTGTTGGTATTTATAAATCCATGGCTTCTTAAATGACATTCCTTTATGGCTGCTAGGTAGACCCTGTGAACGGCACAGCAAAGTAGCCAAGGTGAATGGAGTGCGGTGGCATAATTGTGATAAGGCCCAGTGAGTTATATTAAGAAACTTTAGTTCTCAAGAGCTGGGGAATGGGGTTGGAGAGGGTAGAATGTCATTAGTTTAATATACTGGTAACAGCCTTTGGAAGATGTCTTTTCTCATAAGTATTTTGTTTCTTGAGCTAAGAGAGACCGAAGCATGTGACCTATAGGTAAGTGTGCTAAACCTGTCTTGTACTTAACAAAAGAATTTGGAAAACAGATAGATGGAGGACAAGAGGGAATTGATGTACTGTAAAACGGCCTATTCATTTTGAGAAAATGAATAGTAGAGTGAAGAAATGTTGCTTTTGGTTAGAAAGCTAGGATAGAAGAGAATGGAATGAATCTCCCTCAAGCTGCCTGCCACTGAGTAGTTCTTAAGGCCGACATCATTGGTTTGTAAGATTGACTGAGAGCCTTGAGTGCAAGTTCTCTGACCCACCATACCTGGCACTGTCCCAGATTTCTAAGTGACATGTGCACTCTATATCCTGGCTTACAGTGTTAAACCAATAGGTACAGCTTTTATGGTACTAGTTTCACATGTGCTTTAATGATATGTTTCTGGAATGGATACCCATTCTTGTGAATTGTGCTAGTGCTGCTAGTGGCTTTAGCTTCCTATTCTCAAGATGAAAAGAGTTGCTGATTCTAGAAGTGAACAGCAGGTGTCACTGCATCTCCACTAACTGGGTTCTGGCCCAAAGCTGTTTGGATGCAAACCAATTCTTAATACAGCTCCCAAACCACTAACCTAAAATTGAGTATTTATGGCTCTCTGATGCCCTAAGGTCCCCTATCTCAAATACAGAACCCAAATTTAAAATTGAGAATAAACACAGCCTAAGAGGGTTTTCCTCAGTTGCTTCACTATCCACTTATATGTTGTCTGTGCTTTCATGTCACTAACTAATGAAGTTTATTTTCCTTTTCTTATCAATCCTACAGCAGTGATTTAGGAGCCTGGACTTTTTATATTTGTCTTTAGCAGGGTTAACATTTAAATGCTTCTTGGCTTTCTGTACCTTGCTTTTTGAAAACCTTCCAGCAGGAAAGTAGATGCCACTATTCTCTGAATTGGACATCAGAGGAAGCTGCCACTCTCTTTATTCTTTTTGAACCCTTACTTTGATAGTTCAGGAAATAAAGAATTGAATTGGGCCAAAAGTTCTGCAGTACATCTTTCTAAAACAAATCTCTTATGGCCCTAGTCAGTGTGGCTCAGTTGATTGAAATGTGGTTTTATTAACCAAAAGGTCACAGGTTTGAATCCCAGTGAGGGTACATGCCTAGGTTGTGGTCCAGTCCCCAGTTGGAGCATGAACAAGAGTCCACTGATCAATGTTTCTCTCTCGTGTTGATGTTTCTCTCCATTTCTCTCTCCCTTTCCCTCCCTCTTTCTAAAGTCAAGAAGCATGTCCTAGGGTGAGGATAAAAAAATTAAAAATAAATAAAACAAATATCTTACGGCATTACAGTAGATAGTAGGGTTTTCCTACCTGACATTAAGGTAAATTGGTGTTAAATTAGATTATTTTAGAAAGTCTGAGACAAAAAGTTTATGGTATCTTTTGACCACATATGTTGTGGGAATAGCCAGGGTGATTTCTGTCCCAGTATGTCAGGGTTAGTGCTGGTTTACACCTCTGTCCTGGTGCAGTTATGAAGCTCCCTCTTTAACTCTCAGTTGATCTGGTTTAAACAGTATGGTCACTCTAAATTGCCCAGGCCATGGGGGCAAATCTTTAAGTTACAGTTTCAGTAATTGTAAGTATTTTTTGACTCAAGAATTAAGCATGCCATGAATTTTCTGAATTAAACACATGTAAAGCAAACACCACAAAGAGCTCGTAATTCTGGGAAAATAGCTTTTGGGTTTCTACTGATCATTGTTCTCTGGAGTAATGATTTCCAAAGATGGCTGTACATCAGAATTAACTAGTAACCTTTTTACAAATAGTTTCAGGGATCTCACCACAGACCTCTTTTGAACTTGTACCAGAGTTTGCCCTTGACATTGCCAAAAATGTAGAACTTTATGCAATGTATAAGTACTGGACTACTTTATCAGTAAGCTTCTAAACTAGCATATAGAAGAACACTTCTTTCTGTGGTTTGGGTGGTGGTTGAGGTTCTCAGCGGTAGCTGCTTTGGGCCTCAGGTGTATCTGGTATTGACATGAGTTGCCTTTTTGTTTCAGATGTCATCTGGGTGATTCTCAGTGTGGAGGTGGGTGGACTTTTAGGAGTAACGCAGCAGCTGTCATCTTTTGAAACGGAGTTCAACACACAGCCACATCGCAAGGTAGAAGGAAACTTCAACCCGTTTGCCTCTCCCCAAAAGAACCGACAATCAGATGAAAACAACTTAAAAGACCCTGGGGGTTCTGAGTTCGACTCGATCAGCAAAAACACATGGGCTCCTGCTCCTGACCAAACCGAGCAAGATGAGAATAGACTTTCACAGAACTCTGTAAATCTGTCCCCCAGCAGTCACGCAAACAACTTATCAGTAGTGACTTACAGTAAGGTAGGTGCCCTCGGAGAAGAGGAGAAGGGGTAGGTGGTGGGCCTTGGGATCCGTGATACCCCTTCATGGCAAACCTAGAATCCTAGAATGTTCTTTAAGACCGCTTAGCTTTCCTGCCAACAGCAACAACACGAAACCTACCCCTTCTCCCCTCCCCCCCTCCCCATCTCCACATCCTGTAGATACTACTTCATCCACACTTACAGTATACTACTGTCTCTCTGCTCTGGTTTGGGTGTTGAAAGAACAAAGTTCTTTACCTTTACATTTTAAAAAAAGAAAGTAAAAATATTGCCAGCCATGCTTTCATTATAAATATATACTGATCTTAGAGCAGCAACAACACCTTTGGGATTGGTTTCTACTTTGATTTTTTTGGTTTTGGGTAGGGTTTTTGTTTTTGTTTTTGTTTTTCATGAGGAAAAAGACAAGCTCAATTATCCTAAATACTGTTGGGCTTTTACTTTGTTTACATGTCTTTTTGTTGATGTCCTTTCAGTCTGTGTGGCTCATCTACTTCTCCATCCACAACTCAGTGGCTCAAGTAATATTTTGACTTTTCACGTGTGGAGAATAAGAGAGAGAATTATTTGTTGAGATAAGCATGGTTTTAAGTATTCTGACTGTTCTGAGACACCCTTCTAGGTGTTTGATTTCTTGATTTGTTTCTTTTTATGCTGATTGATTAAACAGTTTCTTCCACACACTGCTAAGGTGATGATGGTTCCTGGTTCTGGTTTTGGTTGGTTGAATAAAGCCCTGATGCTAAGAGCTCACCGTTGTAGGTGGTGCATGTGGTGGGGGCCTGCAAGCATTCCTGTGCGTTCTTCTCTGATTAATAACGCTGTGCGTCTGTCCTTCCTTCATGTTCATATTCACCCTCAAAATAAAAAAATCAATAGAATTGATGTTCACTTGAAGGACAAGTTGCTTTGTTGTAAGAATGGTATTGTTCTGACCAATACTTTATATATGGTCTTGATCGAGAGGCAGATTAAGAAAAGAAAACTGAATCCTCTTTCTTCACATGGTCTAGGCAGAGGGACTTCATTCAGTCATAGCGTAGCATAAAGGATTTTATGGAGCCATGTTAGTTCTTCAGGATATAAGAGGAGTAAAATGCCTGTATTTGAAGAAAGATACCACATCTTAACACTCAATCAAAGATTTTCCTCTAAGTTCCCATTGCTCCAGATTTGTCTTCCTTTAATATTAACCCTTCAGAGGATGACTGTTCTGGGTGGTACAGGCTCTAGAATGCCCAGTCAGAACAGGAACTTGATACAGTTGAGTTTAATGGGAAGACGAGGGTTGGAGGAGGCAAAACCAGTTGTCCAATGCTTTCTAGAATGGAATCCCCTTTACCCACCTGCGAACTACCTGGCTCAGCCATCACTGTAGTCTTAGGCGAGGCCTGGCATGCCTGGCCGGGACTATGCAGCCCAACACAAAATCGTAAATTTACTTAAAACATTATGAGATGTTTTTGTGATTGCATGTTGCAGTGTATTTAATATGTGGCCCCAGACAATTCTACCAGAGATGCCAAAAGGTTGGATACCCCTGCTAGGGTCTTAGGGACTGATGCCTTTTAACCAACTCTGTTTGCCCTGTTTCTGGAGTATTTGGCAGAGGTGTGCTGTCAGAATGGATTACCTACCGCACTAATGAGGTCCCAGTATACTACTTTTTTTGGAAGGGCAGGGCTATGGTGAGGCTATTGAGATCGTGAAGTTGATGAACTCATGGTATGTTACCTAAATTTGTAGCCATGAGCTCTGTAGGGTCATTTAGAAGAAGCACTTGAAAGAACCGCAGAGTAAGGTTCTCATTGGAGATGACATCCAAGGAGCCTGTTAGCTATAAAGTATTGAGAATGTGGCACTTAGATCCCAAAGAGAAATTGGAGCCTCCCTTTTCTCTTATTTTAAGTAGAATCTTATTCATAAAGCACTTACATGAGCATTTATCAAGCTCTCTGAAAGCAATTCTGGCTCAAGTTGAGCCAGTTCTACCTCTTAAAACTCCTTAGGAATGGGGTAGGGGGTGAATAGTCATCAGTAATATTTATTAACAGATTTATGCACTGTTTACAGCAGTGTACATTGTTCAGTGGGAGACTTGAAGAATAAAAGAAGTTACCCCTGCCAGCCAGCAGCTTACAGTACAGTAGGAGAGATAAAGTATGAATTTGGTCAGTGGAGAACAACACAGTCAAAATGTATAATTTGTGTATATGCCTGGAGGTAGAAAGTAAGAGGAGGTAGAGTTGGAGTTGATGGAAAAGGCTTTCCAAAGAATGGTCAGACATGGAATGACAGGAAGAGCAGTAGTGTGGAGAACAGCTTACATCTGAGGACAGAAAGATGAGGGACGTGTGGTCGGGGAATATGGGTGACGGACAGTGGGAGACAGGTTCAGCTGATGTACTGTGTTCCTTCCAGGAGCAGTAGATGAAATAAGGGCTTTCAAAAGAATTGGGGCCGCACCTAATGGATATCTTAAAGCATGGATAATTCATAATTCTAAACATTTGTGTTTGGCATCAGAATATAGATTTATTTAATTTTAAAAGTGGGCATACTTGTATCTTTTTTATGTTAGAAAACTGCTTTACTGGAACTTGAATTATGAAAAATTTCAAATGTACAAAAAGACTGGAGAAAATATTATACAATAAGCATTTGTATACTCATCAGTTAGGTTCAACAATTGTTAATTCGCCATCCCTTGTTTTCTGAAATATTTTAAACATTTGGCCACTTATTACGCATCTTTACAAAATAAGAACTTTTTATATAACCCCAATACCATTAGCTTACATAATGATTAATAATAATTTCCTAATATTATCTAATGTCAATTCACATTCACATTTCCCCACTTGCTTCTAAATGTCGTAGAGTTCATCTGTTTAAATCAGAATCCAATCAAGAAGACCATGTGTCACGCTTGGTCGTTATATAAGAAAAGCCTTGAATTTTGAGGTTCTGAATGGTATACTTGACAAAGTGATGAAATCGGGTATAAAGGTATTTTTTAACTGTTCCTGTGTGCCAGGTGTGCTGCCAAGTACTTTACAAGCCTCATCTCATTTTTTGATGATAAAAGCTCCAAGGGGCTGAGTAACGTGCCCAGTGAGGCAAAGCTGGGATTCAAATCCAGGCACCACATTACTATAATGTATTTCTTAGTATATGAACCTGGGCTTTCCCAAGATCCTCCTGTTGGGCTGGAGGCTGTGTTGAGTGAAAACATTAACCCAGTTCCAGTCGTCCTCAAGGCAGAAAAGAAGCAGAGCTGACAGTGGCTCTGATATGTAAATGAGGATTTCCTTTGGCACCTTCTTTTGAAGAGTTCCCCAGTTTGTTGAGTCTTTAAAGTAGTGACTTCTTTTCTTGGTTGATAAAAATGGAAACTATTTTTTATCATTCTTGGGGTACATAAACCTTGTGGTGTTATAATAAATAGCACCACTTTAGTTATGAATGAGTAGAAAGGATGAAAAAGGCCCCTGGGGCTCTAGAATTGGGGCAACTGTTTTCATTTCACCCTGTGTGCATCAGGAGGAATACCTGATGCTTAGTGTCAGGGATCACTGAGTTGGCAATAGATCTGATTTACTCTGAAGACATTCCCTGCCTGCCATTTAGGCTGGGAAAGAACATGATGCTCTTGGAAGCCCATGACCACAGTTTTAGTAGGCAGATATAGTTTCCTGCTGTCTCCATAGTTATAGTTTAACTTGCTAAGGTTGATAGGATGAAATGAAAAGATTGCTTCATGCACCTGCTCTATGAGGGCTGGGTGGATGTGTCAACATAGTGGCACATCTGCCAGTGCCAGGAACTGGACACCCGTGGAGCCCTTCCCCAGCTGCCCTTGAATACCCATTAGCTTTCTGGGCTCCGTGCTTCGGCCTGTGGGGAAGCTCTGGGTGGGACCTTCTGCCCTAGCTCCATCCCACAAGCCAGGGCCTGGCCCCTCCCTGTGTGAGAGCTCTCAGAGGGAGTCAGAAAAGTAAGTATACGTGCCGGCCTGCTCCAAAGATTCCCACATCCGACTCCTCGCTTTTGTTAGAAATTGGCTGGCCTCGTCGTCAGCTCAGTTGTGGCAGACCTGTCCCAGATGAAGAGTCAGATCAAGTGTTGGTGAAGGGTCAGGTGCTGTTTTAAAGAAACCATTTTTTTGTAATTAGCTCAAGAATCTCAGAGGACAAACAGCCACAGTAGGGACAGGTGCTCACTCTGTTGACTCAGGGCTAGTCTTGTCATGAATTCTAGCTCTCTCTGACTCATCTCTGGAGGCCAGAACAGCTTTGTTTGGACAGTGTGAAAGCAGTGAAGAAATAACTTACAGTGGTGTGGAAGGAGAAAATAAGTCCTCTTGAAATTATATACTTCTTTTTCTTACTTGCCAGTAATTTTTAAAAATTTCTAAATGTTTTCTAAGAAGGCCTCACAGAAGAAAAGGACACCGACCAAATGATCTGATTCAGGACATCTGGGAATAAGATGGGGCTGTTCTTCAGGGCAGACAAGTGCTTCACTTCCTTTCTCTAAGAGTAGTAATTTACACTGGCGGAGCTGAAAAGAATCCCAAATTTATTTATTTTGTTACTTGGACCATAGCCCTTATTTTGTGTTTGTTCTTACTTAAAAAAATGTTTGGAGCTAGTATATGTCATATACTCTTCCTTCAAACTGGATTATACTCTGAGCCACTGTTATTACTTCTGCCAAGTGCTGGTTCAGAAGGAGAAACTTGTTATTATCTTTGTGGGGAGGTTCACACTCCTCCAGTGTCCGCCACTGCCGGGTGCCATCTGCCTGCCTACCCACACTCCCACCTGCTCCTCTGCCCCTCTCTCTCTCTGACAGCTACTCTTTAGTGTGTTTGGATCTGAAGCTAGAGAAGTCAGTCTGCTTTTATTACATCCGAAATCAGCTGACTTCTAACCTGCTATCTCTGTTGACTAAGGGTTAGAAGAGTTATTTTCC